GCGGCCCTTTAACGGCCCGGGGGGTGCGTGGGGGCTTGCCGGGGATGAGCGTGACCGACAGCCCCGGTGCTGGCTGGCAGCGCCGTCTGGGTACCGCACGGCCTCCCGAGGCCCTCCCGGGGCTGGAGGCAGCGGCCCTCGCAGGTGTCCCGGTGCAGGCCCCAGCCCTCCCCTCAGCGGCGGGCGGGACCGCCGGCCCTTCACCTGCCGGCGGGCTCCCGCTGTCCCGGCTCTGGGACAGGCTGCGGCCCTTCAGGGCAGCGGGGGGACGCGGGCCTGTCCCTGGGCTGCTGCAGGTCGGAAGTGGACGACTTTGTTCCTTCGTCCCTTGTGCTGTGGGCCTCGGCTGCAGGGCTCTTGCCAGGGCTGGAGTGGTTGTTCTGAGGGTTTCTGCTGACAGCCTGTCGTTGCAATCCTGCGTGTTACTATGGGCATAATAAAATTTGTATCGTGATAGTTGCTTGCTGGCAAGATGAACTTTAGCCCTATTATCAGCTGCTGTAGGGGGCCCCTCTCTGAAATTTTGTGTCTGTATAAAACACAATGCTTTTGAATATTTCAGTTTGTGGAGAAAGTTGTTTTGGTTTGGGTTTTTTTTTTTCCCCCTTGCAGATTCATGCACTTGATAGTAATGCAATTGATATCCTATGGTAATTTGAGGTCTCCATTGCACACAAGTAACATCAGAAATAAGCATCCAACCCTAAACTGTTCGTCTGTTGCACAGAATGTGTATGTTTTCCACTCTTGGGAAACTTACAACATAAAACATTTTAGTGCTGATTCTGCCAATTTTATTGAGGTGCATCTGGTGAAAGTACTTGTCAAGTCAGTAGATCTTACTTGTTCTCTTTTCTGTTACTGTGATGGATTAGAGAGCAATTTCCTTAACATGACTGTTACTGTTTAGTAGTGAAACAGAATGGTTGACAGAATATAAACTGCATTTTTTGTTACATTTTCAGTGAATGTGTTTGATAGTAATATGAAAATGCCAGAAGTGGCCAAGGTGCTTGCTTATGTGTTTGGGTGCAAACTTGCTACTGATTAAGCTAAACTAATACTGGAAGCTTTTCTGATAATCTCTGCATCATATATTTGCTTAAATTGTTAGGCAAGAGGATTGCTTCAAATAGAGGTGTGAGGAGGTGGGAAAATTTTCTTTCCACATATTACAGCACAGTATAGCTAGTAAGTTGCTATTTACTAGCACTTCTTGCGCTATGGTTACTATGTAGCCACTATCATTATAATTCAGTACAGATTCTACCCAAAACTTGCTTGGACACAGTGCATTTTTGCAGAGGTAAGACCTGCCATGGTTGTTGCCTTTGTGTAGCAACCTCAGATCATTTAGTCCAACCCCATGTGTTAGCGATTGAAAGATAAAGACCTTCACACCCATTGCTCGGTCTCCATGGAAAGTAACAAAACCCAATCACCTACCGGTGCTCAAACTATTTGGAATCAGAGGTGCAGCTTTCTTGGAAAAGCAAATGGCTGGAGTCTTAAGGGCACCCAGGTAGCACTGGAAGTAGCATCATGGAGAGAACTGTGACCTACCTTGTATCAATGTGCAGCAATGAAACAGATTTATACATGCTTATTTCTGATTTCTACAACAATGTGGTCTACTGTATGTGCTCAGCTTTATTTTATATTTATTTCATATTATATTAGATAAGGAAGAAATTTTTTTGCAATGAGAGTGGTAAAACACTGGAACAGGTTGCTCAAGAGGTGGTAGATGCCCCATCCCTGGAAACATTCAAGGTCAGGCTGGATGGGGCTCTGAGCAACCTGATCTAGTTGAAGATGTCCCTGCTCATTACAAGAGGGTTGGGCTAGATGACCTCTAAAGGTCCCTTCCAATCCAAAACATTCTATGATTAAAGAGGATGGTATTCAAACCTGTATCTGGAGGGTATTGAGATACGTAAATGCTGAGGATGCAGGAATACTTTTAAAAGCTGACCATTCACAGTACTTTTGTGAATTCAACTTCCTTTTTTTCTTTTTGTATACCGTAAGTTTGTATATTGTAATGTAACACTCCTGAGACAATCTGTAACTGAAATGTCAGAAATTAGCAGTGTGAAAAACAGGAAAAATTGTACTTGTTTAATTAAAACATAGTGAATTTCTTCAATGTTTGACTGAGAAGGGGTTTGACTTTCAAGTAAAATTAAAATAAAAATAGAACAGATTTTCTGAGAATAAAGAAGAAAATAAAGCTTGATGGGGCTTGTTACCTCAATTTTTCATTAGAGGGTCCTTCAAAACAAAAGGAAAATGATGCTGTAGTAGGGGAAGGAGCACTTATGTCCTACAGGGTATGCCAAAATTCTTTGCACTGACATTATTAGAAATAAAAATGGAGGTCATCAACATTGTAATGTTATCCCGCAAATGTCTGTCTCTGGAATGGAACATGTAAATTCGTTTATTTGGTATTGTATAAAGTTCTGCCATGGAACTCGGAGATTGTCGTCTTCAATTTTTTGCTGTTTCCTAAACTGAAAATAGACTTATTCCATTTTTAATTATGTAATGTCTAGCTAATGTTTGCATGTGTGTCTTCTGAAACAGATTGATTCAAAATTGCGGTACATGTTATAAATGCCATTTAGTGTATTAAGTTCACTATTATTGATGGTCAGATTTGTAGATTCACAAAATATAGGTAAACCTCTAATTCTTAAACAGGTCTTGAAAATTATGTCTTCAAATGATAGGATGGTAAATTGGATTGAATTTCTGATTCAAAGCACACCTGATACTACCAAAACTGTTACAGAAGTTGAGGTATTGCAACTGTTGCCATATCAATGGACTATTGTCTGTAAACTCAGATGGTAACTGAGCCCTTTGCACAATCAAGGTACAAGACTGATTTCCAAAGTTATTCAGTATTTTTTTCTGCTGACTTCAATTAAAGACGTTCATATACTTTTAGACTGAAAATCAAGCTATTAATTCCTATGTTGTGCACAGTCAGCTAAGATGTTATAAAGCTTTTAATTATGTCTATACTTGTTTTTCAAGCAATGTATGCTTTTCTATATTTTATGCTATTACTCTGAAATTGCAAAAGTCATATTTGTGAAAATCTTTTGATATTTACAGTTTTCACTGATATAAAAAGCAGAAGTGGAAGGCAAAGTGAATGGGCACTTATATCCGGTTTGTTGATGGGAAGAAAACTGGTTCAGACTGTTTAAAGCCTAGGACTATACAACAAGCTATCAGAAAAAGCAGAAAAATAACATTTCAGTTACCAAGCTGCTTTTTTTTTTTTTTTTTTTTTGGATTGTAGAATTTTATTACTTTTCTCAGTATTGCGTTTTAGAATGCTGTTTTTCTTTTTCTTTTTTTTCAGACCGCTGTGGGTTTCAGAGAATCAGCCATGGGAATTAGAGGTTTGCAGGGATTTGTGGCAAGAGTTTGCCCCGATGTAGGCAGAATGGTGGATCTGAGAGAAATGGCAGAAAAACATCGCATCGATCATCCCGATTTCCCCCCTGTTATCGTAGTAGACGCCATGTGTTGTGTTAGATACTGGTATACACCAGAAAACTGGGTATGTGGTGGACAGTGGCGGGAATACCTCGCCATTCTAGAGGATTTTATTAAAGCTTTTATGGCAGCTGGTATCAAGTTGGTGTTTTACTTTGATGGAGTGGTAGAAGAGAAAAAGAGGGATGAATGGATCAAACGGAGGTTGCAGAATAACAAGGAAATAGCCAGAATTTTTCAGTTTATCAAGACTCACAGGAAACAACCAGGGAGAGAAATGTTTGTTGTTCCTTCAGCTTTGCCTACTTTTACACGTTATGCACTAAAGTTGCTTGGTCAAAAAACAGTATGCACATTGCTAGAGGCAGACTTTGAGGTGGCCACGTATGGTTTGGAACATAACTGCATAGGAATTCTCGGGCAAGATAGTGACTACCTCATCTATAATACATGCCCTTACTTTTCCATTGAGAAGCTCCGTTTGGACAGACTGGTCACTCTTATGTACTCTCGAGAAGATCTTTGCCATGCGTTGGGTCTTAGTTTAACACACCTCCCTCTCTTTGCTTGCTTGCTTGGCAACGATGTTATTCCAGAAAGCTTGTTGGAAGGCTTTTGGCATAAATGTTTAGTCACCAGTCCCAACAAGAATAACAGCTACAACAGAAGAGCAAACATAATTCTAGCTGTAGCAAATTACATCTCAAAACTTCCATGCTCACACAGCAGCCTGAAACAGTTGAAAGAGATGCTACCTTTAGGATTAGATGAGACATTACTTTACAGAGGAGTGCAGTCCTATCTTTTGCCTGGACAGCAGTCTCCATGGATTCCTCCCAACGTAACAAACTGCCAAATGTTCTCCCTTCAAGAACAAACAGCTGTGTGTCAAGAGAAAGAAATCTTTCAGGTACCTTGTTTTTCAAAGCTTATCGGTCGCTTTATTGCTATGACTACTTAGTGGAAGTTGGTAATGAGTACACCAAACCTATTGATTTAATTTGCTTGAGCAAAGTCTTTTGTCTGTTAAGTACAGCCACGGTTAGGACTATTACATGCATTCACGATTAGGGCAGATGGGGCACATTTAATTAAAAGTGGTTCCTCCCTGAAGCATCAGGTAGGTCAAATAATGGGGAGCCACTTCTGTATATGCCTATAGCTGGGCATAGAGATGTACTTCCCGTATATTGCATGGTGTAATGACTTGCTTTTTGCTTTCAGAACCCACAGGTCAGCTACAGCTGCTTAACGGTCTGCTTGGCTGTGCCTGGCACGTGCAGTCAAGGTATCAAAGGGAGCTGTGCTAAGAATGCAGAAGTTGAAATTGCTCTTGTGGAAGAAATGAAGAAACTTCTTATAAATCCGTATTTCATGATTTTTGGATCAGGTTAATTATCCTTCAGATTCATTGTCCCCAAAGGAACCAAAAGCACTTCAAGTGGCTTGTTAATCCTTAAAGGATTACACCAGCAAGTTTCACTTATGACTTCCCACATGGTCAGAGATGCGCTGGTGTTGGGGTGAGAAAAGGTACAGTTGGATTGGGTCTCCCTGGATATCTTAGTTGGGGCAGCCTACCCGGCTAATAGAAAACTGAGCTACCTTGCATCAGAGTTTATGCAATAGTAGTAAGTCTGGAGTACAATGCTGTAAATTCATGGCAATTAAGATAACACACTGAGATTTAATTTAAAAAAAAAAATCTATGTAAGGTAGTGTATTTTAAACCCTGTATTAGCCATCTGTTACTCCCTATTTTCTTAGGTACCTATTTGTTAGACTTCAAATAGAGAGTAGTTTGTTTGGGTTTTTTCTCTATCTCTTACTCATCTTGAGCATTTTCTTAAAAACTATTTTTCTGTTTTCTCATATTACTCTAAAGTGCTCCTGTAATCTACATTTTCCTTTTCTAAAAACACTCTAAACTATTTAAAAACTATTGTAACCTATGCAATGCTCATTTCAGCTAAACTGCAGATATATTTGGTTTTTTTTAATTAACCACACGTAGATCCAATACATGCCACATTTGACTGTAGTAGTTAAATAGAATATGCTATTTAAAAAAACCAACAGCCCTACATCCTAATAAAGTGTTGAAAAATATTGTTTATGCTTGAAGTGCAAGTTAAAATTAGCCAGAATGTAATTATCTTGGTTGGATTATGGCCAGGACAATAGTGGTAATATCCTTGCTCCTTAAGAGAATGTACCATGTGGTCTTTATGACAAGTGGTCATTATTTCTTGGCTAGATCTTTCATTTGAAGGGTTGCAGTTCTCTAGTGTCATGCTGAGCTACTGCTGTAATAAAATAATAACGTTTAGGAACTCCACTGAAGAATGCCTCACTATTGCTGAATAAATCCTATGTTAAGCCAGTGTCTGAGCCAAGGAAATCACAGTCAAAGTTGTAGACATGTTAACTTGTCCTTTGTTTTTGTTACAGGTGTTTAAATATTTGTGTGCATAATGTGTGTGCTTTGCTTCATATTTTGAAGCCCATATGTATTTCTGCTTACCTGTGTATTTCTGCATATAATCTGTACTGCATGTAAATGACATACACAGCTCAGTTCCAACCTTGAGGACGTTGACTCAGGTTGCTGCTTCTCTCAGGAAGGAGGGAGCATAATTTTCTAGATGACTGTACATGTAAATCAGAAATATTTTTAAGATACGGCATTGAATGCAGCAATACTTTTGAAATCTGCTTGTATTCTTTTCAGTGCATAGGATGTATAGTTTATTTGCAAAGTGCAAGAAACTAGTATTTTCAAATTACATCTGTGACAGTGGTTTGTATGAAACAGTTCAATGCTTCATTCAAATCATGTTTAGGAAGACTTAACTCTCTGCTTTTGTTTAATACAAAAGTAGATTTGAGAGATTACATTGTTTATGTTTATTAGGGATACTCAAGTATTTCTTCCAGGGCAACCATTAATTTATTGCTGTAAGAAAATGGTCTGTTGATTGGTATTGTACACAGAAGCCTATCACTGATTTTATGCTCATGTAAGAATTTCTTCTGAAATTAGGATATTTCAGTAGAATTAGTTTTGATCAGTAATGACCCAGTGATTGAATGCAGCTTTGACCTGCTGAGTTCCCAGGTTTGCAGGTACTAGATTTCTGCAGAAATGGTGAATTTGGCTCTGGCAAGTGGTCTGGTAATTCCTAGGGAAAAAAGCTGAGATAGCTGCATAGATGGCACAACTCAAATAAGACATAGTGTGGCACATGTAGGGAATGCGGAGCAGAGAGACTTCAGTGCCTCCTCACCACACGGCATGGAGAGTCCAGCAGAATTATTATTAGTGTCACTCCATGGAAATAATTGGCTCTGCTCAGCTGTTTGAACACCCCCCATAGTTTTGGTCTGATGTTGTGAAGTAGAAAGTCTGTCCGGCTCTGCCCTTGGCCAGTCCAGCTTACAGGTGGTACTGGTTGAAATTCTGTGCTGCCTGGGAGCAGCTTTGTTGCTTCTGCATCTAAGCTGCTCCAGACCGCTGGTCCCTGAAGTTGCTTGTAGCCAGATGCTGCAGCGAGATGTGTCTGCATTCAGTGCACAGTTAATATGCTGCCTGGGTGATGCTGTGATTCTGCTTTTCAGCAACAGCCTGCAGACCTGGATTTCCTCACTAGAATAGATTGTATTTCTTTTCTTGGAGAAGAGCTATTGCAAAGTAAAAGTTTGGTGAAGTTAAGTATTCTAATTTCACCACAATGTAAACTATACGAAATCAGCTCAGGAAAGAAATGGAGCTGCCTTATGTAGTTCGTCTTGCAATAAAGTCAAAAGTTTGGGTTTTGTCATGCCTTCACTCGCTATTTAAAGAGAGAAGATATGTTTTCAGGTGACTAAAGGAGGGCAGCTTGTTTTTCTATTTCTGCATTCAGAATTCATTTTAAGAATAATTACTCTCTAAAAAACTGTCATTTACCCCCTCGAGTTTTAAGAATTCAAGGAGAAGCTAAAAAATGCAGTGATGGGTTTCGTGGGGGTTCCTGTCCACAAAAGATAGATGTCTAAAAATATACTGTATTGCTGTTTCTTGAACAGGCACTTGTTCCCTCCCTGGCCAATCCCTCTATTTCCACTGATAGAGAAAGTGCCATTTCCTCGAACAATGAATACATTTTGTTACTTTTAAATAATTTTTAATTTTGGAGATAATGCTTTCTTCCTTCCTTGAACAAACAGTTAGCTAAAGAACAGCATATCCGATCTGAAAATTATACAATCTTCAATATCCTGAGTAGTGGAGAGATTGAGTGCAGCAACTCCTTGGAAGATGAATGTGATACAGAGATTCCTGGACAGGCACTTATCTACCGCCCTGCTCGTCAGCATATTTATTCTGTCTTGTTGGAATCTGGAAAAGGTAAGGATTAAACTATTTACACCATTGTTCAAGTATACTTTCAATTTTGAAATGTGGAATCCTGAATACATTGTTTCAGTGGCTACATCAGCATGGCATTTAGGGTAAAAACTGTGGGCAGCTGAAGTGTACTTCTTAAGGAATCAAGAGAAAATGTGACAATGGAATTGCAGTTTTTCTACATGCTGTTCAGTTTCAGAGCTTTTAAAGAATTTTTTTTTAAAATTGAGGTTTTTCCTTGTTAAGTGGGAAGTTGTGAAAGTTCTTAATGATCAAAAGATTGAGCAAAACAATGAGATTTAGAAGATTCTAAAAATTTGAGAGGATATGAAACCTTATGTTACTTTGCTAAGTGTAACTCCCAATGAATTAGTGAGTTGTAATACACTTTTGCAAAACAGTAATGCACTGTTACAGTTTTACCTTCTGTTGATTTTAGGTCTGCAATTTTAATTTAACAGTGGATAGTCAAATATAGTTATTGTAGGAACACAAATGAAAGTAGTTGTGCCAGTGGTTATTAGTTCTTTCATCAAAGTGCAAGAAAATACGATTTCTTTATCCAGTAGTGTAAATAGATTCCGTAGCAGGTATATGTATCTGTGCTTCCATTCTTCTGCTTTAAAACAGGTAATTCTTTATTCACATCCTTGAACAAATTCTGTGTTCTAAAGACTTGCATTAACGTTAAATGTTATCTTTAGCTACAATGTCTTCTAGGCAGTGAGTTGAAAATTAAAAATGTACTGAACTTTTATTCTTTTTAATATGTTGATTTTTCCTTGGTAATCACTCTACTGATGAAAGTGCACCGCCATCAGACCTAGTATTCAAACTATGTGCTTAGAAAGGCACAGAAAGGTAATTAAGTGCTTGACTTCCTTCAGCAACTAGATGTTGAAGCTGTGCCATAATAGGAAAAAAAATAGGAAAAACTGAATCGGATTTTACGTAATCATTTGGAGAGAGTAACAGAAATCTCAGCAGTAATCATGCAGATCTGTCATTTTTCATTTTTCGGCCTACTGCCTCTAAGTTTTGTAGACAATTATAACTTGGTTGGGTTTTGTTTATTCCTCTAAGCAGCAGGATATTCATTGATGTTTTTGGAAACACCCAGACCAAAACTTCTAATTAACAATTGTTGCTGAAAGATGGAAGGTTAGTAGGCAGATTTGCATTTGTGTTACAGTGTTTGTAGTGCTCGAGTGAAGAAGATTAGAATTGAAATCAGAAACATTAATTTAGAATCTTGTTGAAAATAGAATTTGGATGTGAAAAAGGTCTTTTAAGAAAATTATTTTAGAATAAAACCATAGGTAACTTGTATTGTTTGTTCTCAGTTCATGCTTCAAATTCCAGAGATAATTTTCTAAAGTAAATCATAGTGCACCCTCAATCCTTAACCCTTCCAGAAAGGTAGGTAGAGTGTGTCTGCATGGGCACCCCTATTAAATCTGCATTTTTTTAGTGCATGTATCTACCTCCAACTGCTTTAACCATGTCTCTTGCTAGAAGTTCATAGGTTGGTATTTTATTCCAGTGTATAGTTGCTTGTAAGTCAAGAGTGTAGATCATTAATCAGAAACTGTATGGGATTTTATAAGTAAATGTCAGTGTTTCTTTTTATGAATTTGCTGCTAGACCCACAAGGAAGTTCTGTTCTTTACAAAGTAAGTAGAATCCTCTGCCAGTTTCTCTCAGATGAAGTCAAGTTGACTACTTTTTGTAATTTGATGAAGGGTAGGATGGGAAGAAGTAACCTACACTGTATATAGGTTGTAATATAATGTAGAATTAATGTCCCCAAGAGACCCAGTAATCCATAGGAACTGGTTTTTGTCATGTCCTTTGAAATCACCCACATAAACCATGCCGCTTTCCCTGAAGCCACAGTGTGATCAGCATTTCTTTTGCTCTCAGTGCCAGTTTAAGTAATTCTCCAGCAGAGCCACTCATTTCAGTCCCTGTGCAACGTCTCTGTTGTGCTGGTGCAGCAGTTTGTGCAGCTGCGTGGTGGCCTAGTTTGAGATACTGAAAATAGCCCCTCTCTCTCTTCTCTCCCTTTTTTGCAGTCAGGTAACTAACCTGGTTCTGTTTCCCCACCTGACTCTTTGTGTAGCCACAAACAGCTGCGGTGAAACAGCCCGAGGGAATGGCAGGGAGTGGGAATGAGCAAATCGATGGGCACCTGTAAAAGTTTGCAGTGCTGCTGAAAGCTCATGAAGCTGTGCCTTTGGCATAGTTTGGGGTATGGTAAGCATGTGTGTACCTTTACTCATGAAATGTTACTAGAACCACAGCCTTATTTTTGTCCCTGCAAAAATAAGTAGGGTGTTGATGGTGATCCTGATAACCTGGCATTCGTTGCCTGTGTATTTTAAAAGTATCTTTATAATTAATTGAGCTGTTTCTGATCATTAAGTGGAGTATTGCCCGTAGCGATATATAAACTGTCAACTTTTAGCCCCTTTCCTAGAAAAACAGTACTATTGGAAAAATTCAAGAAGGAGGGGAAAATAACAGTAACGCACCTTGATAGGCCAGCCAAGCTCTCTTTTGTCTGCAGAGATTTCAGAACAAAGCTGGCAGGTTTTGGCACCAGTGTAGTCTGTGGAAATACCTGCACCTGCATGGCTGTTGCCAATTAGGAGGTTGTGTAATGTAGCCTAAGCCCGTGGCCAGCTCCTGGAAGTCCTGGCATCACTCCCAGTTCTAACATTAGCAGGCCAGACTGACCCTCGCTTTGACACTGTCAAAAAAAATAGTCCATTAGCAGAATTTTTGCCAGTTATCACCAGTGACCACTCAGGAGGGCTGGCATTGTTGCAGGCGTAGAGTAGCAGACATTAACAGCATTTCCAACTGTCTCATGTTTTGGTGTTTTGCACATAGTTGAAATTTTCCTTAGGCTGCCTGGGTTGTTCCACAGGTTGTTCAGAATCTATTGAAACAAAGGAACTGCTGTGTTTTGAATTTCCCTGATGATATTCTCTGTGTGCCTTGTGGGGAAAAGAGTTTGAAAAGTTACTGTTTTTTTCCAGAGCTATTTTCATGCAAGGAGGGTTGGCATTTAGTACCCATGTCTCCATTTTGTTCTTGGTGTGTTAATGTGCTGTCAGTTTGCAGGACGTTGCTTTCAGCTATATTTGTTTGTCTACTTATGTGAATAGTCATGTACTTTTGTTACTAATGGATTATAATAGTGAAAAGGACTGTTGTGGTGCTACGTCCTGTACTAACATTCACATAGATTAAAAGAACAAAACTAGAGCTTTCCTGTTGACTTCTCTTTTTACTGAGCTTGAGCTCGATGGGTGATGCAAAGGTAGTGTTTCACTGGCATTTGGCATCAAGTGACATTTTTATAACTTGTGAATTGTGGAACTTGGAAAGAGTGACTCTACCCACTAGCTTCCCCTCAGCAAAGCTTTTCTATTTCCATGCTCCTTCCTAGTATTCTCTTAACTTCTCCCTGTGTCCTTTACAAATCCTGCCTGCAGCATACGGTGTTTTCAAGTATGTTCCCCATTGTCTACTGCTCTCCCCGTATCCCATCTACCATTTTATTCAGCTCTAGCTCTTCCATAGCTACTTGTATATTGATTTGCCATCAAATTTGGATGAATGAATTTGCTGTTTGGATACAACAGGTAACTTGGCCTTCCTGCCCTTCAGTCGGTACCCCAATAGGATCCCTCTGTCACCTGAGTCACCAGCTTCACAAAATGTTTAGGAATTTAATACATTTGAAATCTCTTCTCCGTCAGGTTTAGCTGAAACAGCAGTGCATCCATGAATTAATTATAGGACAGATGTCCTAATTGTATTAGGCTTGCTTCCTTAAGGAGCCAGGCTAAAATTTGGGAGGCTGAGCTGAATAGATTGAATAAAGCAGAGTAATTGACATAATAAATCTTAAAACAGAATGCGAAAGCATCAGAATCTTTCTGAAAGTGACTTTGGGATATTAAATTGTAGGGGTTTGTTCCTGAAATAGCGTTATCATAGGTATGATTTATAATCAAGATGTGAGACTATTCATCTACTGAAATGTGCAGTTTAAGGTGTTTGTGTTTTTTTTCCCCTAGTATAGGCATTTTTCATTTTTTTTCTTAATGTCATCTGTTTTTGAACAGTGAACCATGGCAAGCCAGGTGTAATGCTGTCTCTCATAGTCCAGCTGTTGGTTCTTCAGTCCCTCACCTTCGTTGGGAGAAGGAAGAAGATGCAGGGTTGTAAAACAGATTTAGTTATGTTCTTCTCCCCTCCTCTTACCCCTGACACTAGAACTCCATCTGAGGAATTTCTGCCCTTGCACCATAGCACACTACTGGTTCATTCATACCAACAGTGGTTTGCAGTGTTGAGCTATGAATGTGATCAGGAAATTAATGTGAACAAACTTTTTGGAGTGGTGTATAGAAGGGAAGGAAAGCGTTGGAGAGATCTGTTTGGTTCGTTTTAAACTAGGTGGAGTTTTTGATTAGAGTTCATAATATGGCATCAGAAATACTTGTGCAGTAAAGTGCAGGGTGATTGGAATTGATGATAAAAGGCAGGGATTTTTAAGAACAGTGGCTTCAGCACTGGGTGAGAGCTTGAAGGAGTTAGAGATGCAATTCTGTGAATCTGGAAAGGGACAAAGTAAGGGGAAAAAAAGCTTTTGAGATTTGCCTGGAAAAGATTTGCAAACACTATTCCAAGTGCCCAGGACTAGCTAAATCTGTTTACTTCATACTGTTTACCACACTGCAGAGGGTGGAAATTTAGGGCAATATGATATGGTTACCATAAGCAATATCTGGACGGAATTCTGAAGCACCATTTGTAACAATAATTAAGGGTTTTTTAAAAAAAACTTGCATTGGAATAATTATGAGCTGATTATTGGAAATTGTACAGACTGCATTGCAAAAGTTCTTAAATGCTTGATTTTTTTTTCTGAGGGTATTTGCATTTTTGAGGTTTTTTTGGTTTTTTTTAATTATTATTTTAAAGCATCAAGTAGTTAGATGCACAACTCAAGTAGTGAAATTTTTAATTTAAGAGGCACCTTACCCTTTACTGGGGGGTGGAGCAGAGTTGAGGTTAGAGGGTAGGAAGCCACTTGAGCTATTATGCATAAACAATCCCTTTATACTAGATAAAAGGTCTGGAACAATAGGCTGTAAAAGCTCTGCATCTGATGGTGGGATGACTCCATTGCTGTCAGCTTTCAAATGGCCATCAAGACCTCCTTATAAAGATTTTGTCTCAAACCCTGACACAGGAAATGTCAGGGCAAGTTGGGAGGAGAATCATATTAAGGACTGCCTGCATATGTGGCGGTGTGACAGCCCAGAGAGACTGCGGTAGCTCATGTTGGTCCCTAAGCTATGCCAGATGCCTCCACAGCTTCCTGAATTGTCTTGGAATGGGAAGGCCTAAAATTGGCTGAGAGCCATTTTAAAATGCTTTCCACAGGCTCTTGTTCTTACTTCTTTGGCAGCAGTTCCCAACTCCAAACTCATGTTTATAGTACATAATTCAAACACTCTTCATTTGTTCTGACGATTTGCCATAAAGATACTAAAACTAATTTTTCTTGGTTTGTTTTTAGAGAAGCTGAGCAAACAAGTCATTATGAAGTGCCTTCTATTACTTTAAAATCCTGATCATCACTGCTTCCAACTTTTACACTACTGTCAATACTTATATTTGACTTACTGATGCAATTCTGTCTTTTTCAGGTGGAGCCTGTCCTGTGGTAAAAGAATGGTTTGTCTATTTTGGCAATCCTCTCCAGCAGCCGGAGCTGATACAACCTGTACAACCTTCTGTTCCAGGTAAAATAAAAATGTGTTTAAATCTGAACTGAAATAATGGCATCGCTAAAATCAGGTTAGACAATCCATCATCACGTATTTGATATGGAATCCAAAATGACTGCAGAGAACAAGGAGCTAAAGTAGAAATGCTGCATGCCTGTAATTGCTTTTAATTACCCTGTGTAATTATAATAGGATTCAGCTTTATGTGTTGTTCCTATGTCTTGTTAAACATAGTGCTAATTCAAACATCAGTTCTAAAATGCAAATAATTTCTTAGAGGTTCTAAATACTGCTCTGAGGGCAGGATAAGTGTGTGTAGGGCCATATTAAAATTCTCCTATTAAGCTGTTTGAGAGAATGTGTTAACAAGACTGGCAGAGAATATAAAAAGGGACCAAATTTAGATCATCTGTGACAACCCAAAAAGAGAATCCAGCTTTCAATAAAAAAATAATGACTATCTGTTTCTGTGAAGCTGTTTCTACTGTCTTAAGCGTCAAGTGTTTTGTGTGGTTTTTATCTTTTTCCCTTTGGTAAAGGACACATTCATGAACACTTCTGGTGAAATTAGTGTTACAAGGGATGTGTTACATTTGCGAGGGGGTATCATACACTTTAGTGAAAAGATTGGGCACTGTATATGTCACTCATCTCTTCATCACTAAATTGTATCATGCGATACAAATTTAAGATAGGAAGTAAACAGTACTGTATCAATTTTGTTATTTCAGAGGGAAAATTGTTCTAGTTGTTCATTTTCCCATGCTATTGTAGTCATAACCCCTCTATCTTTACTCTCACAGCTCACTCACTCTCTATTTAGCATCTGCTATTGAGTAGATCAGGAGCTAAGAGAGGTTTTCTTAGTCTTTCATGTGAAATGACTTAGTTCTATTGATAGACAATACCGTTGATAACTTATTAAGAAAAATTATTATCTACTTGACTTTTTGAGAGTAATTACCAGTGCTTCTTCACACAGTAGCCAGAGCTTTCGGCTTTCTGTAGCAGTCCTTGTTCAGATCTAGTCTAAGTCCAGATTCAGAAGTTGAAATTTATGCCCTTTTTTTTTTCTTTTCTTTTTTTTTTTTTCTGTTTCATTAGGGATCGCTTTAGAATCTACTTGTTTTTTAATTTTTTAGGGTTAAAGTACATTTTCTTTTAAGATATCCTGTTTGTATGTTTATCTTCATATTTGCGACTCATATATTTTTATGAGAGTCTTCAAATTCAAGGATGAAGGAAAAACAGTTGCTCTTTAGATATCAGCCTTTTCAAAATCCTTTTGAAAAGAACTGTTTAGAAAGAAATTAGTTATGTAGACAAAGTACAAACAAGGTTTCATTTGATATATGCAGTAGTTTCACTTTCCAGTACCCCTGATACAATATTGGAAGAGTGATTGACTTGATGATAGCATGAAATTGCTGTGAAATTTTCCAAATGGATATGAGTATGGAGGGTAAAAATTGATCAATCTGTCTTGTACAACTGTTTTATTTCAGCATACAATGGTCTGGGAACATGCATTTATAAAACAAGCCAACAAAACTCAATGAATTATAAACCATACCTGTATAGATACATTTCAGTTTGCATGGCACATCTGCTGTATTTATTGTTTTGACATTTTCCTTCCCAGATAGTATAATGCTTTCCTCCCTTTTTGAAGAGGAATCCACTTAATCTCGTGTACTCTGGTTCTACTGCTCTGCAAACGTGCTACACATAGAACCCACCTTCATGTTGAGGATAAACAGGATTTTAAATCACTGTGTTTGTTGGTTTATAGCAACTGCACAAGAGGAGTTTATAAAAACAGCATCTTCTCAGCCATAATCTTTACTAACTCAGTAATGAAAGGCTGTTCAGGCAGGCTATTAAAAAGGGGGAGGAGGACTTCTAGTGTTTATTTTTAGTGCTCTGTTGTCATTCCTTCAGCGAACAAATATTTTTCTAAAATTTTTGCAGTCCATATTTGTATGCCTTACATTCGCTCATGCATCTTTTATTTTCCACAGCATGACTTTCTAATTCGCCAAATAAGGTTCTCAACAGCGCATCACATTTTTCAGACAGGGATCATATTTAGAGCTAAATTTAAAGAAGTTGTTATAGGAAGTTAAAGTTCAAAGCTGTCAATCAAGATCAGGCTGCTCAAAAAAGAGAAAGAACCTTACCAGAAACTATTTGAAAAGTTGCAGGTGCAATTAATCTTGGAAGGTTCCTTATTTTATCTTTTTTTTGAAAAGCTGATAACCTCATCATCGCAACTACTTTAGAAGTGTACTGAGAATATATGGGGAATCCTGTCTCTTGAATTTGGTTTAGATTAAAAAGTCTGAAGAAAGAACACTTGATATGAACTTTGAACTGTAATGTGCATAACCCTAAATATTTCAAATTTTGCATTGATCTTAAAAAAAAATAGAATAGAATTCCCACTGTTTTTTTTTTTTTGGTGGTTGTATAAAACAACAGAATTGTCATGCATCTGAAAAGCTTGAGGGTAACAGATAGAATGTTAGCTTTTTTTAAAAAAATGAAATATAGAACCCTAAAGGCTGTAAGATGATTGCTTAAAATATATTTAAAATATAGTGTATTTTATGTGTATGTATTTTTCTCGAGAGACAGTCTTCTGAATTAGCATCTGCGCTTGCTCACATTCTCTGTCTCTCTCCCTTCTGGAATGTTTCCTTTCAGTTGAATGAATATGATCATGAAGTTTCCCACACATTGACAGAGCAGCACTTAAATTGATAAAAAGCGTGTCTGAGAAATGAATTTTGTTACAAGATCTGTGATCCAAGAAAATACTGTTTAACATCCATGTCTTGTGAACATAACTAATCTATTTGATGTGTGTGCAGTTTGTATGGAATGAGGGAAATTTTAAAGTCTTTTCTGGAAATGTATGGATTCTGCTTTTCATTTTATTTTGGAAAATGTGTAGGATATTATAGCTTCATACCACAGGGGCTTGGGTGTACTTTCAGTATACTTGTCATTGCATCTTACAGGAATATGTCATGAATATGATTGTTCAAAATGCTGTTTCTGGGATGCTTCTTTAATGGTCAGATTTAATTGGCATTTCAGTTTATGGCCTCTTTAAAATTAGCCACAGTTGTTGACAAGTTAAAGTAGAGTGTTCCTAGCAAGTGTATTTTTGTACTTACTTTTTGTACTTTTGTACATGCTCAGTATTTACATGAGCATGTAAAATGTTGAAGTGTTAAGTTCTGTTACTGGTGTTATAAAATGAAATTTCTATAGTCGTTGCTTCAGATATATATGAACAGTTAATATTATACATTTACATCTGTATACACAGTGATGACATGTTTTAAGTTGGCATGAACGTGAGGATCACTTTTGTGTAAGCCTTGAGTTCCACAATATTCAGAGTTAGGCAGAGAGGAACCTAATGAAGTTCAACAAGGGCAAGTGTAGGGTCCTGCACCTGGGGAGGAGTAACCCCATACACCAGTACAGGTTAGAGGCTGACGTGCTGGAAAGCAGCTCTGCAGACAGAGTCCTGGTGGACAACAAGGTGACCACGGGCCAGCAATGAAGGCAAGAAGGTCAATGGTATCCTGGAGTGCATTAAAAAGAGTGTGGCCAGCAGGTCAAGAGAAGTTATCCTCCCTCTCTACTCTGCCCTGGTGAGGCCACATCTGGAGTACTGTGTCCAGTTATGGCTACCAAGTCCAAGAAAGGGAACTACTGGAAAGAGTCCAGTGGAGGGCTGTGAAGATGATCTTATGAGGAAAGGCTGAGAGACCTGGGTCTGTTCAGCCTGGAGAAGAGAAGACTGAGAGGGGATCTCATCAATGCTTATAAATATCTAAAGAGCAGTTCAAGAAGATAGGGCCAGATTCTTTTTCAGTAGTGCCCAGCGACAGGACAAGAGGAAACGAGCAAAAACTGGAACACAGGGAATTCCGCCTGAACACAAGGAAAAAGTGCTTTAATTGGGGGTTACAGACCACTGGTACAGGCTGCCCAAAGAGGGTGTGGAGGATTTCCTGGATGCATTCCTGTCCAGCCTGCTCTACGTGAATCTGCTTTGGGGTTGGACGAGATAATCTCTGAAAGTTCCTTCTAAAGCCCTACCGTTCTGTCATTCTGTAATGTCATAGTATTAATTCCACAACTTTTGCATGCATTGCAGATTCATAAATCAGTTACTGAAGTTCAAACAAATGGAAAAAAGTATGTATTCCTTTGAAGTGCTCTTGTTTGTCGTGATGCTTTCTATATGGCAATGTCTTTAAATGTGTGAGGAAAAAGGAAAAAAAAAAAATCAATGCTTTTTCTCTTGTTGGTTGTCCATTTTTGTGCTTAGGCAAGATCTCCGTGGAGGTCTTTGTGATGCTTCTCTTCTTGGAGTTCCCAAGGACTATAGTTTACATAGTATTGAATACAGTTTTCACAGTTTCCTGCATGTTGAGAACAACCATAAGCATATGCAGTGTCTGAGTATCTCTCTGTAATTCATAGGATTCCTGTGACTCCAGCAGGATAGATAATTTTCTCATGACAAATCTTTGCAGTGAAAATTTATCAGTTTATATATATATAAAAATATGTTTTGTTATGTTTCCCTTTTATTATTCAGTTTGGGGTTTTTTTTAGGTTAATTTAGCAAATATTTAGATGTATTCAGAAAGTAAAATATTTCTCCTCCCTATCCAAGTAAACTTCTTTCTGGGAGGAATGTTTTCTAATTGCTGTAAAGTATGTAGTTAGGATTAACGGGAGCAGAGAACAGTTTTGGGGGTCTGCTGTACATGAATCTTAGGTGTCTGTTGTTGACTGTACGCATGATGGGAGAGTCATTAAACTTCAGTGTATTTGTTTCTTTATTTTACTTATCTTTCATTTAAGGGTTAATATAATGGCTCCCTTTTGGCTATTGCATGGAATTTAATTACTTATAGAAGAGATCCTTTCAGAAGAATAACACTTTTGGTTGGTATGTTTCACAGGGAGATAGCGTCAAGTTTTCTTTCCCAGAGTGAATAACTCATAATTCATCAGTACCCCTTTTTTCCCAGGCACAAGTAGATGTTGTTTCTGAAAGTGTAAGAAACTGTTTATGGAAGAGATGTCTTGAATTTTTTGTTGAGCTCTCTCAATATAGATACGTAATCTTGATTATTGATGTAGTTCATGGTTTTACTCTGAAGAAAGAAGGATTTCTATTATTAGGTACACCCCTGGATGCAATTCATTTTTTAAAAAAAAACTGTACAGATGGAAAGAGTACTTTCCTTTAACTGATTCTTGGCGTATCTGTTCATATGCAGCTGATTGGAACCTTCTAGAAAGCAGAAACCATCAAAACTATTTGAGTTTACCTGTGTAAAAATCATCTCGCACATTAAAGTTGCTTAGCCTTGGTAGAAGAAGTTGGCTTTGTTTTGGCTTTAAGAACGTTATCTTTGCTTTTCTTCCTGGAAGTCAGTCTCTGCTGTACTGTTTTTTTCTTAAGGCAGCAATTACCAGTATCAAAACCAGTAATCTGAGTCTTGTGCTGTCTGTACTGGCCCGCTTACTGCCAGTATTTGTGTTATCGCTAACCTGCATTTATAACTTCAATCAAGGAACTGATGTTTTTTCTTAATATATATATATAGCCCTACAAACTGAGGTTAGAAACTTACAGATTGTATGATGGTAGTTCTTTACATGGTTAAAACTTTTGATGGGAGTTAGTCTTAAAAATAGTAAAAGAAACATCCATCAGGGAGATGAAGAAAGAAAACACTAACTTCTCTTCTAGCTTCCCCCTCTCCAAAGAGTTAGTACCATTTGGTTAATGGGCTTTCTTGGTTAAATAAACATTGTCGATGTAGATTTCAGCACCTTGTCGCTTTAACCATTTATTATCACCAAGTGTTCCTAACTGGACTACAGCTGCTGCATGTCACACAAAAAGGAAAAGGTGTTACCAAATGTAGCTTAATTAGACCACATTTAAAATTCACACCTCGTTCAATTTAACTACAGAAGCAGCAGTACTTTATGGGAGGATTCTGTCTTTAATTGGGATTCTTAGGCATAACCAGTTAGCTGTTCTGTTATTTCACGTGCATTAGTGTTTATTTTGATAATGGATTAAACGTAATTTAATTGGGGAGCAAATTTTACATTAGTTCACACGTGTCACAGGCTGGGAGATGGCAACATGGGGTAAATATTAAGGATTTAGAGACCAGAGTGAATGATACTATAGAAAGTCTGGAAAGATACTTTATACATAACTGATGGCAGTTCTTTTGTGTGGGTTTGCAACAGTGTTTCATACAGCAGCCTAGGGAGTGCAAATGCTAGAAAGCCTTGATTTTTGTTCCCAAAGTGGAACCTACTGCAGAGGACTCACACCAGCAGAGTGTTCTGTGGAGAACGTGTTTGCCAACAAACGGCATAGGTGACCAGTTCATTCATTAAAACAGGTGATTATAAGGGAGGCAATGTGAGGATCCTTCAAGGACCCCTGATATGCTAGTTCTAAGAGAGAGAGAAGAAACAACAGATATAGTTGTTTTCTGCTAAATCACTATTTTATGATGAAGCTAACCTCATTTAATGCTGTGGATCCCCAAGGGGAAGGACACGCTTCTAGGCAAACTTTTTTCTTGCAAAGGGTAAAAGCCTGATGTCTCAAAGTTGTCTCTACTGTTGTAACAGTTGAATTCAGTTCACTGTGCTTAAACATGCCTGTAATCCATACAATTTGTTACAATAAGAGGCCTTAATTTTTTTGTTAATTTATTTTTGAATGCCAGGTTTTGTACATTACATTTTATTTTCAACTCTCTGGTCCTTGCAAGTGCCAAGAGCAGATCAGTTGTTTCCTTTCAGATTGCAATGAGGTAGGCCTGTTTTATCTTGTTGCTGCCAAGATAAAAGAATGGATTTCTTTTGTAGGTGGAACACCTAATTTGAAAACACTGTGGTTTGCCAAAGGACCTGACGTGGAAAAGCAGCGGTATAGTACCTTTCTGGCATGCTTTCACCTTCAGGATGGAATGGAAGAGCTCCAAGCTCTAGAAGCACCTGTTGCAGCGTTCTGCTGCTTGCTGGCCTATCTTATGATGCAGGTAACTGGGACAGTTGCTTCTTCTTCAGCTGTCAGCCCTGATAGAAGTGATTAACTAATAAATGGTTTCCTGCTAGCCTGTGCTGGATTTTTCTCTTAATCATTACTGTAGGCGTAGTTGATCAAATACAATAGTACTGCATTACAGTATTTTTAATTACTCTCCTTAACATGCATCATCCTGTTCAAGAAACACTTGGGTTTTTTTTAGTAGTTAATCGTAACTCTCACATACACATGACAAAATCCCTTGGGCAGTTTAATAGAGTATAAACTGAGGGATTTCCCCTCACTTTTGGGGACCTGTTCTCTTTTTGTGTTTCTTTTGTGTTGTCAAAGAAGACATTCCCTCAGGTGGCTGTGCAGGCTGTGCAAACAGACAATATAAATATTTAGTCAGCTCTCACTACTTTTTCACACCGTCTTGTCAATCTACTCAGTTTCAAGCCAGAACTAAGGATATGGCTCTTCTTATTAAATTCTGAGTAATAGGTGATCATTAGGTAGCTGTTCTGTTATAATTCCAAATATTTGGCAGCCTGCAGTCTACCTTAATTGTAATAAAAAGGAACACAAGATTAAATACAGTATTGCTTCATTATTTACATTTCTATTAGGTATGTAATATATTGTCTGTACTTGCCACCTTTAAAATGCTGATCTCAGATGCAGATTTTCCTCTCTAAGGAGGAAATTATAATGCCTTTATCTAATCTGATAAGCTCTGTTGCATTTTTGCTTACACTGAACTACATTTTGTCTTTTGGTTTGCTGCTTTCCTCAATAACAGATTTATACTGATGTGTGATACATGAAAACAAGTTCTCTCTAACTTTTCCTTTCTTTTTGCTTCATATGTAATTGTTCTAACTTAGATTACACATTGATAATTCCCAGTACGTGTGGGAATTATAGAAATTTTCTATATTGGTCTTTTTTTTTTCTTTAATTTTTGTATAGCAGAGTATAAATGGAAAGTTTTTTGAAGATGAAACTCATTAAACATCATTTTATGCCTTGTGGTTTCAATTCAGCAAGATACATATCATGTACTTAGCTTTAAACAAACTTTAAGTGTTTTTCATATTTGGATATGAAATCCATGTTTCATTATCTATCTTTTCACTGTTTCATGGTGCTATTTCATTTATTTATTGTGCACCCTTTCATAACATGATTACTAAATTATTTGAGAAGTGTTTCTGTAGTGATATTAAGAAGAGAAGTAACGGAACACCTACAGAAATGAGGATTTACTAGACCTTGATTGCAGCATATTAATAAAATGAAAAAAAAAATAATCCTGTTAGGGATATGTTTTTCAGAACCTATTATCCGATGGCTGATGTTAAAAACAGAGATGAAAACAGTTTTGCAGCTCATGTTTTCAAAAATAACCATAGCAGAGAGATCATGCAAAGGGCTTCGTCTGATGGAAGGTTTTTCCTGGCAGTGCCCTTTTCTTAACACCTGTCTTGTTTTCCCGATTCTCTTCTGCCCTCTGAGTTGCACTTATACAATCTGCTCTGTGAACCAGACTAGGGAGTTGATTTGGATTAAAATGTTTTTCATTGCTGAGTTCTTCTAAACTTTCTTAGTTCTCTGATCTTACCCATTTATTTTCTCGAGGGGTTTGAGAGGAAAAAATGAGAGCAAGAATGTCAACAACCATGCTTTGAGCTGGCCATACTGCTTCCGTTTGTTTTATAGCTGAGAAAACAATGCTTGTCTAACTGTGACCCAATTCTTGTCTTGTCGTTACACTTTAGACTTACATTTGTATTAGAGAGGGAAAGGGGATTTTTACACCAAGGATGACTTAAGTTGAGCAATTGTAGATTGTTTTGAAGCAGACTGGCATCATTTTCTTCAGCTCATGTGAGGGAGAAATAAACTTCTTAAAATTTTCATTATCATTTAATATAACCTAAAACCCATCTAATTTCCTCAGAATTTATGTGAGAATATTTAATGAAAACTTCAGATGCATATTTTTTTTAAGTGAGAAAAAATTTTCAATAAGCAAATCTTGACTATATAAAGAAAATGTTGATTTGAAGAGTAATCTTTTCAGTGAGGGTACTTTTCAAATATGCTCCAAATTAAGAACAAAAATAGCAAAAAAAAAAAAACCACAACAAAATAATAGGTCCATCTTTAAAGTTAAGGAAAGGAGTGAACGAGTTCAAATACCAAACTGTGGAACCGCCAAAGAAAGGGGAAATTTCTTTTTCAAGCTCTTACAGTTTTTGAAGAAATCTGACAAAGGAAGTGTGTTAACACACCAAGTTCAGTTACTAAATAAAATAGTTTTCTAAATAAGTGTTTTCACATTCATAAGCATTTTGGCTGATCTGCTATATTGGGGGCATTGCCTTGCTCTTGTACTTGCAAGCAATCTTTGACTTCTTTTTCTTAGGCCAAAATTGTGCAAGCATTAAGCATTGTTTTGTAGATGAAAGTAACTTTTTCTGTTACTGCAATTTATAAAATGTGCAGGTTTAGAAAATCTCTCGTGTTGCCATCTACATAAAGGTGACACTTGACTTGAAATATAGGGTAAAGCAGGGCCATTATCAGACCTTAGCAGCCAGGTGAAGTTAATGAATACCGAGGAGCATTTGGAAAGCTTAAAACTTTTCAGATACCCTTCACATTCTTGTGCTTTATGCAAGTTTGAACAGAATTATAGAGGGCAAATTATTTTACAGTGGGATAAGGAGCAAGTCCTGATTTTGGGGGGGAAAAAAAAAAAAAAGTAAATTCTCAGTAGTGGTTGACTAATTTTTATTTTGAGGAGGAAAGAATGGGTTGCTCCTCCTAAGCAAATAAATGAGTGAAGTAATTATAAATGGCTTCTTAGTGTGGTTTTTTCTTCTTTTTTTTTAAATTAATTTACAACAATATTTTTAAAATATTTTTCTCTCCTTAATTTTTTCTGTCACTTTTTGATTTTTAGGAGTCTTAATAGAAACTTTTAACGGATTGAAATGGGATATACACAACATTCTCTGAAAATCAAGCTGTTATAAGAAAGGCAATGTGGAGTTTCAGGCAGCCTTTTAACTGTACTGTAAGCTCACAGTGCACATTTCTACACTTTGTAGGAGAAACCTTCCCTCGAATTCCAATTGATAAAGAACTGTAATGCTTGATGGATCTCACTTAAAGCCCCCTTTATAGTCTCAACATTTGTAACGTACTTGGTCTTGATGCCCATGTATAATCTGTAGTGTTCTAACAAGAGGAAGCAAGTGAGGAATCAGCCCAGCTGGTCTAGAGGTGCTGGTTTTCTCCTGAGATGATGATATGCCTCTATAGAATCTCAGAATATTTTTTCACAACAGTAAATGCCTCTATTCTCCCTTTTCTGATAGAAATATTAAAGTGAACTGTTACACAAATTTAAAGTTTTCCTTTATGTTTTCCCAGGTTTAGTTTTCTTATAGTTTTGAGTTCTTCCTACTTGAATATGTAACCTAAAAACCAAAAAGAATCCAAGTACATTTTGTTAGATCCTGACATTTAACTTAAAATAGGTAGTTAAAATATTTTAGATTATTGTTAAAGTTTCCAACATATTTGATAAAGGCATCCTGGTGGTTATCATATCTGTGTCTCATTGAAGTGGGTTTACTCTAGGTCTTGATTATAAAGCAATTTATACTTTTTATAAATCTAATGGTTTTTTACTATGCTTAGTGTTATGGACATGAAGACATTTTCTGTTGTTAAGAAACAAGAAGGGAAGAGGAAAAGGGAATATGTGAAGGGTAGGCATTTTATTTGGTGTGTGAAAATTCATGTATATACACTATACACAGGTATTGGGGTATGCACTTCATTCTGGTTCTGAAAGTATCTTCTTCCCTTTAAGTATGTTTTCCTAGATGATGCATTCACGGTGTTCATAACTTCATGAGGTCATTGATTTAAGTTTAATGGGCTTGAGCAAGAGAAACCAATTTTCAGAAAGTTCCTTTTCAGAAACTTCAGATAATGTTTTTTTCTTTTTCATCTGTTTTAGGTCAGTAGCCTCTCTCTGGAGGACTTAAACGCATTTGTGGCAGTCATTCTCTGCCTCAAGGGGAAGCCAGCTGCTCAACTGGCGGGTTTGCAGGTATGGACTGGAATAATTGAGTAACATAAAATGTTCGTGGTAACTTTGGGATAAATATTTTTGGGGAATTTCTTTTACATTAAGTTTTTTTCAGATACAGGAACTGAGGCTCATGGTAAACATATAGGCTTTTAATGTGCTACAGTTCATGTGAATACTTAAATTTGTTAATCACATTAGAAAAAAATAAAATAGAAAGGATGCATTCTAGTGGTTGCAGTCCTAGAGTGAGTGAATTAGTCTCAGATTTCTTCCTGGCTTGGCTTCCAGACTTCCAGCTGATGGAAAATTTGTAATGGTGAATCCTGTTTTGCAACATTGCTACATTCTTTTTTCTTGAGGATAGTGTTTTGGTACATAAGTTGTATGAAAATCACTACATTAAATAAAGTTTAGTATTACTACTTGTGGGAGGACAAAAACATAACATAAACCCAACCAGAAAAAAAATGTCTTGTTACATTATGTGGCCCACTGTAGTGAAGACTTTTTGGATCACACTATTCTGTACTTATTCAGGAGTGAATTTTAAAATGTTTATATACTCTGCAAATCTGGATTTTTCCCCCTTTCCTATCTTCTTGAATCCACATGTGGAAAAGCAGGTTCCCTGATGGATATTGCAGTAGAAGCATCTAAATAGTTCTTGTGTATCTTATTATACAAGTGTATTTTGTAGAGCACTTAATGATCTTATTCTATTGAAATTCTTGATAGTGCCTTTGTTAGTAGTTTGAGCCATAATAAATCCATTTGAAGAGAATAGTGAGGAAAGATTTTGGCTTCTTTCCTCTCCAGGGCTGTGAATAGGTGAGTAACAGTTCCAAAATTTTCCTGTTATCTTCTAGTTAACCTCCCTTCCTGTGCTGTAATACTTGGATTTCCCAGTGGAAAATAGTTGCTGTTTCTCAGTTTGTTGTGTATCTCTAACTGGTCAACCTATATCAAGAGAGGATATTATGTTGTATTAATTGCCATAAAAGTACTTTTTTTGCTTCATATGTAAGCCACCTGTAATTTTTTGGTAGCACCAGGATCAAGTTCAAGATTCGTATGTGGTTAATCTCACTTCACAGGAAGAGTAAAAAATGGTCTGTTTCTCATTTCTATGCTTATGAAATGTGGTATGTAGATGAACTTAATTGTAATTCAAGAATCTTATTTTCAAGATTCCATTTCAGAATAGCTTAAACTGATTGTACTCGTTACTATGTTCATTTAATAGTTTTACAATATTGAGTTATGCTGTTAAATTATTTTAATACGTATTTGGTAATTAATAGCTTAATTTTGTAGGTATTTGTGTTTAAAATTAGTGGAGAAGCCACGTGAAATTTATTACACTAGTATGTCGGTCATTAATATATGGGGCTTGTAGCAGAACAGGAGCAGAGTTCAACTTTTTCTTCTCCGCTGAAGTTAAACATGATCCCTAGAAACAACTTAATTACAGAGCTTTCAAGGAAGTTGTGTTGAACGTAGCATCTGCCAAATTTTATGAGAATGTTTGCTCATTTGCAATTTTGGACTTAACAGTGTACTATTATTTTAAATGTATAAAAACTGTTTACTCCTTCTAAACAGTTCTGTGAAGAACCAATTTGATTTAAAAAAATTGCTGTTTCTTCAAGAGAGTCCATTAGCAAATACATTTTAGCAGAAGAAAACTTAACGTCCACTGTGAAGTATGAGAGAAAATGCCTGTTCTTCTCATAGGATGAAGAGTTCTTTTCAGCCTTCACTTTCAAATCTGCTTTCTGATATGCTATCCATATTTCATAGTTAATAAGATCCATAAACCCACAAATTTATGAAACAGAAATGTCCATGGTTTGAATAAAGTGGGCTAAAGCCATAAAAAATGCAGTTTGCCTCATGCTGAAAGAAAGTGGGCTGTGCACATATAACTAAAATGCACATTAAATAATTGCTTTTTGAGAATAACATAATGTTTATACATGAAGATTTGATTATTTTTCAAAATACCAAAATGTGGACACGATAGAGAAGCGATTTTATACGTTCTTTTCCTCTAAGTTTTTTTTCCTAGTTTCCTTGTGCCCCCCTTATATGGTAGATTAACATTCTGTTTTGCCCAAGCCTCCCATAGAGCTTATACATAAGGTCAGAATTAAATTTTGGACCCCAGGTTGCCTATTTCCCTTCTTTCTATTTTAATCTGGTGTGCAGTTTTGGCAAAAAGCCCAGAGAGCCATCAGTCTAACTTTGAGGCCATTGTAGAGAAAAAGAGGCACCAGCAGTCATGCTTGCACTCTTGTTTCTTCTGTTGTGCTGGCCCTGGTTGTTTACAAGTGCAATTATACATCATCTTTCACCTGTAAGGCATATAAAATGCTGACCAAACAGGAGAGGCTATAGTGAACGATCAACAGAAATGCATTTCTTCTAAGATTTTTCTAAGTATGCAAATATATGAAGAATTTGTATTGGAGGTGAAAAGTTGTGAATCACATCTTTTTTTGAACATGGTAGCCAAGGATGAGATAAGAAAATTTGGTTAAAAAGGAAGTACACCTGGAGAATGGTAGATGAAACTTGGGTCTTGTTAAATGCTTTTAAAAGTGAAATGTATGTCAGAAGATATGAACTCAAAGGTAGTAGCAGATGCACAGGTGGACGTACACATCACCTACTGCTGGAATTCATGGCATTTGTAAGCTCTTTATAGCTTTGCCATAAAATATCCAGTTATGCCAGAATATCTGCTTTGGAGTAATTACATCTTTTGTGCCACTTGTAAAAGGAACAGTTTGACTGTGTATGAGGAGTAAGAAGGTCAAGCACTGAAGTGTATTCCTTCAATTTTTCAAGTGCTTTCAGTTATTTAAAAAATATTACTCATACAAAACAAGGACAACCATTTTAGATCTTAAATGATAAACTCCAGAAAGTCTTTGCAATTTGTTTGCAAATGAACTTTCACAAAATGCATGTTAAGTATTACTTGATTAGCTTTTGGAATAATAAAAAAAATACTTGGCAAACAATTTAACTAGTTTGACAGGCAGAAGTAGCTTTTGCAAGAATTGTAGTTGCATGGAACCTTTGAATATTTTCCATTGTACAGGTGTAATGAAAGCAAAATCAGCTTCCATGTATACAAATAAATACAGAAATAGTACTATACCAATATGACACAAGATAATTTTCTCTGAATATTTTCCTGAGGGCTAGATACCTAAATGCATGCAAAAAAGCAGTATGTTTTAGCATAGTCTGTAGGTATCTCAGGTAGGGTCTTGCAAGTTTCAGAAGGATGTTGCCAAATCTATTCTGCATTTTTAAACTCAGTATTCTTTCTCCCTTGCCATGTGGACAGAAAAGCACAAATAATACCCAGATTCTGAACATTCCAGAATTTCGATCTTCTGACCTATTTGGCAAGCCAAGCTACATTTGTCAACACCATTAGATGTGATACTTTTCAGACAGACTCCAAACAGGCTTTATGAGCTCTCTGTGTTTTTCAAAATATAATTGTTTTAAAAACTCCTCTCTCCCCCAGGGAGTGTATGTTTATTGTGCCTGTGTGACTGTTTCCTAATAAATATTGGCTTGAAGTCTAATTGGATTGAGGAAAACATAAAATACAAGTAAGAATATTGTAAAGATCTCCAAGATAAACCTCTCTTACATACTTAGGACCTGCTTCTGTGATGTACGTTGGTATTAACTAAAGTGGAATTTGAGTGCATTCCCAAATGTTTTACTGAATCAGGGCTTTATATTCCCTCAAAATTTGCATCTTTCAAAAGTGTTTTTAGAATGATAGGTGAGATTGTAACTGGCAGGGAATGGGGAGCAGGGGCTTGAGATGGTTTGCTGATCTTGGCGTTGCTTCCCAGCCCATTCTCTCATCTACAGTCTTCAGGTTTTCTCAGTGATCTGGGCTAATTGGAACAAAAGTCAGCAGTATGGGATGTGACTGCAAGCTGATATTGGTTCAGTTCCTGTTCAACCTCAGAAATTTACCTTTCTTGTCATTTCCTCAAGATAATCTTAAATGAACTAATCCAAATAGAAACAGTTCAAGTGTTCCAGCAGCTAAATTACTTCTGGTCTAAAACACTGAAAAAAAAATTGCATGATTAATCAAGAGAAAGTTGCATCAAATGAACCAGCTTCAATTAAATGTGTATACTGAGGCTGAATGTATTCAGGCTTCCATAGTCTGCTTGACTCTTAATAACTGTGTTTTGGCCTCCCAGGCCTCCATGCCTAGTTCAGTATCACAGAACCTATTTATTTTCTCTAATGACTTTGAAGTGGTGGGTATGGCTCCCCCATTCTGTTACTGAAAGTGAAGTATTGCATTTGCATAGATCAAGCATTAGTTTAATTCATGAAATTAGTCATTGTTTACAGTATTTTTTGGAAGGTCCCAACTCTAATTCTGTTGCTATTTTCATAGTCATCTTCTGAAGTTTGGAAGAAATTCAAGTTTTCTTGGTCCTGCTGCATGGACAACTGGCTCTTTCTTTGCTGCTGTTCAGTCATAAACATATAAAAAAACTTTCTTAGGCTAATGTATTCAACTTCCAGACAAGATTGCTCTCCCCCATTTTCTTCTTTACCAAATTGGGTATCTTTATTGGTATTATTAGCATCTGTTTCCCTGAACATTTTTTACATTTGACATCAGCTCAAGTATCAGAATTCACATAACTGTGTGCATTCTGTTGTGTGTCACTGGCACAACTACCAACCCCACCAGGATTAGATCAGCTCTTCTACCTTCTGAGAATAATTCATTTATTTCATTGGTTGCAGTTTGCTTACGGAGAAAATCTTGAGCAAGCTTTTGAGCAAGGGCCTTAAAATAGAGGATTTATGTTCTTTTACGTGGAAGATAATCTTGCATTTTTCTCCATAACTGTATGAGGTTGCTCTGCTTTTCTGTGAGTTTTCCCTTTGCTGCCACGTAGCTCATTATTAGCAGGGTTTCAACAGCAACGAAATGAGCAATGTTTCAGTTATAC